GTTGTGCTGCTTTAGGTTCCCTAACAACAGTATAAAAAAAAAAAATCTCTGTGTTGAGTGGGAGCTGCTCATCGTCGGCCATCTCCTCCCACTGTGTAACCTCACTGGTGTGTTCAGTCTCTCCTGTGTGAGTATCTATGCGGCCGTACGACATGTGCACGTGCTCGTGCAGATTATTCTGACGCACTCTGTTATTCATGGACACGTGCATCTTTTAAAGCATTTCATTTCAGCAACATTTTTAGTCAAGTGGTTTATGCAACTTTCAGGAGACGTGAAACATTCAGGTGTGAAAGACCACACGGTAGCTATTAGCTTTTTTTCAACAGCGTTGCCATGGCAACACTGTAAATTAAAGACTTATTGATTATTCATATTTCGACTGAGTTGGAAACTGTATCGTTGAGAAAGCAATGAGAGGCGAGTGGAAACGGTTTCGTTCCGGGTTCTCTTGTCAGTGTATGACCTGGTCACAAGCTTTCTTTATACTCTGTGGTTGTGACCTTTAACTGTAGAGTCTGACCACATATTTGGTCAAACTCTGTTCAAACAGAATGTGAAACGCATGAACAAACGAGCGCCATTTTGCAATTGCTGCAAAGATTCATCACTCTCTCACCCGTTTAGTCCAAAGTCAAAACAGTGGTATCTAAAGGAGACATTACGTTGGAACAAAAAGAGGTTTAAAACTACGTTGATTATTCTGTGGTTACTTAGAGCATCAGATTGTTTTGTGATTGCTATGATAACATCTTTGCTCATTGCAGAGATTTTAAATTTCCTGTAACCTACAAAATAATGTCTCAGAAATAACTGTTAGTGTTAGATCAAGTCATGGGGAATGAAGAAATGGCTCAAGATACATGTCCAAAGAAAGCAAAAAAACTGATTCATCATCTTGAATGAATTGCTGTATGTTTGTTTGTGTGTCCACACTTCTCGGATGAGTAACTTTCTATAAATTGGTCCAACAAGAAAACAAGAAGAGCAGTTGTCTCCATATTTTGCACAGAAGTCATGTGTTCACCAGAAGAGGTCTGGACTCTGTTCCCCAAAAACATCTCAAGGATTAATACGATCGTATAATCCGTCTTGGATGTGATGGTAGAATAATGAGTGCCTCCTACCTACTTGTAGAAGTCTAAGAGGGTCCTGAGAAGCTGCAGAACCTACAGGAAGATCTGCAAACAACTGGCTTCACTGATGTTTTTTATTGTATTTGTTCTTTTATACATTTAGATTAGATTGTTTGGATTCCAAGAACAAGAAGAAAATAAAACACAAACACACAAAACCAACTAATTGGGCAATGTGTTGCACAATTGATTTGCTAAATGCGACACGCAGAGGAAATGACGCAGTATATCGAAAGACCATTTTTAAAGTTACGCGGTCCAATAATGAGTATAACAAGCAAGAAAGAGCTGGTGCTCAAGGGGTCAAACAAACACAGGACTGAAATGCAACTTTCCTGAAGTCATGTATTCAGTTTTCCAGTTCTTTTGTTTTTATTCATGGTGTGAATGTTGTTTGCCTCACGCTTAGTTCTATGTGGTTAAGAGTAACACCTGACTTGCAGCAGCTGAAACGATCAAAATGCACTTTGACAGTGTCGGTGTATGAATCATAAAGGTCAGCAAGCTGAAAGCTCTGACTTTTGGCTGAACATTAAGTTTTGCTTTCATACTGCACAATTCAGAGTTCAAAACATTTCTTTGTTTTATACTTTGATTGGAGGGAACCGTTCCTTATGTGCTGTACATAAGAAACTTCTTGTTGATGTTGATGCACATGTAAGTTTTAAGTGGACATGCTTACAATCCAGATTTCAAGGTAAAAGGCAGTGTACATGCTGTGATGAGGCCACTAGGCTGAGATACCACTCTAGCTTGGCTCTGGCTTTAATTTGTTTTCAATCTATTTCCAAAACCAGATACGCCAAAGCCACTTGTCAAAGTGTGTAAAGATCAATTCAAAGAGGTTAGAGACCTTCAAAGCATCACAAGCTGCTGGTATGTTTTAGGTAGGTCAGGCCCAGGTGCCGCTCTCCTGCGACTCTCGTGTCAGATCAGAACATCTACTGCTTCATTTCCTCAGACGAGAGGGGGAAAAAAGAAAAGCTCCCTGGGGGGTAAACTGAGAGGAACGGGTTGCCTCCTCTCCAAGGTCAACCAGCTGCCACGTTAAATGAGCCTCTTCAGTCAACAAAGCACAGAATCACTTCCAAGTATTTGTTTGTCATATATAATACCGACACAGCAAAATCACAAAGTCATACATAATAACCCCTGTGAGCTTAATAATGGGAGGCTTCAGACTGAGTCATACAAGATGTCCTCAAAAACCTGTTACCTTCTGATCTTTTACAGAGGGTTTTTTTTTCCTGCTCTGGTCTGTGCGAGCGGCTCCCGAGACACCCTTCGGTGCTGTCTGTTTGTGTTTACCCCTGTGGACAAACACGCAGCTCCATCAAGGGTGCTATGGAAAGGACAGTGTGTCATGAGGGACCGAGCAGCACGGTGCCGCATTGTTTTAGAGGCTGGATGAGTCACGGAAGACAAATCAGGGTTGGTGGCATTTGGGAAGGCTCGTCCGTTGCATTAGGACAGCTCTGTTTAAATCAACAGTGGGATTATAACATGGTCCCACGATGCCTGTTGTAGCAGGTCGGACAAGGAATTAATCAACGCATAATATAACCTAATTACCCCAGAGACTCAACAGTTACATGCTACGATTGTAATTTGTTTTTGAAGAAGAATACCTCCTCTCTGCTGTCTCTTGTCAACCTTACTCACAAAAGTTAAAATTCTCAAAGCATCGAGCCATGTTTATAGCAGCCCGTACACAATGTGAGTGCAGCGTCGCTGCTACTATTTCAAGTAATTTGACTCACCAAAGAAATTCAAAAGCTCATACATCATCAAAGGAGCAGACAGCAAATTCTCCTCTGCTTTAGTCATGGCTGAATTACTTCTCATCTATATCGCCGTTTTTACGCTTCAATTATTTGTCCCTTTGGACAAAGTCTGAAATTCAAATGAGGCGCTTGACATTGTGTAGATTTTAACTGAAAATGTGGTCAGGAATATGTCAGCAACCCCCCACACTTCACACCTCCCACCATCTCATTCAGGTTTTACCACATTTCAAAATAATGCTGCTCAGTAGGGTTCAGCTTTCTCTGAGTGGCTGCCTTTGATTTTTTTTTTTTTTCTGTCTGTACTGACAAAAGCAAAATTACACAAGATTGCCCACATACAATTTTGTTTTTGACTTTCAGCACACATCGTCTACGTTCGTCCCGTATGCGAACGTCAAGTGTGTGCAGGTGACAGACTCCTCCAAGCATAATCCGTTTTCCTCCCCGCTCCCCTTTTCTCTTCATTTCCACCTCTGTGTCTCTTTGTGTCTCTCTCTCTCTCTCTCTCTCTCTCTCTCTCTCTCTCTCTCTCTCTTTGACCACCCTCGTACACACTGCCAACATGAGATAGCCATGTCTGTGTGTCCAGTGCAGTGTGTCATGTGTGATATTGTGTGACGTACGCGTCACGTGCCAGCGGTTTTAGGGTTCCACTAGAAGCTACTTATTGTTATCGGTTTTAGGCATCATCATTATCAGCTGGAGCAGACGCGCCGGGTCCCTTTGCGTCATTGTTCCCTCCGAAAAACCCCTAAAGCTCCAGCCGCCAAAGCTACCCACAACGTAACCAACAAAGGAGGGAAGAGAACACATCGAAAATCACTCTGGCATCCCTCCCCTCATCCATCCTCTCATCCACGGCCTGCATACCCCCCCCCCCCCCCACCCTCTGCACTGTCTCGCTTCTTTTTTTTTTTTTTTTTGCATCTCTATCAAACGTTCACTTCTTTTGTCTCATGTGCTCTTTCTTATTCCATCGCACTCAATCTTTCTGCGTGACATGCTCTGCCCTTGTCCGCTCTCTCCGGCCGCCATTATCTAAACCACCCATCTCCTCATCTTTCCCTCAATTCCCCTCTGTCATAGTCAGGGAAAAAATGCACAACCTGCACACACAGATAAATGCACACTCCAACACACACAATGACACCGTGCCTGCAAATAGTCTCACCCCTCCAAAACCTTCTTCCATGCACTCACCCCCACCACCACCACCTTATACTCTATCCACCCACCCCCTACACACACACACACACACACCCTAATCCTAATCACACCACCACCACCGTCATCAACCCTTATCTCACTCCACCAAATCTGCTGTGACTCAAAACAATTTCCTCTCATTTGCGATTTTACTGCCCACCCCCGCCTCCTACACCTCCATCAAACCACCTCCAATAAGCCCTCTCCACCTCCTCAATACCCCATCGCTACCCATCAGGCGCGAACCCCACCCAAACGCACATGCACACAAACACAAACGCATTCAAATGCACTTACGTACACACACTCTGACCGGTCGCCATTAAGAATGACGGCTCATCATGTGCACGTGGTGACTTGCCACTGTCATCCAGTGGAGCCCGAGAAGAACTGCAGTGTGACGTCACGGCGGACGCCGGCCCCGCTGGTTGGTGGAATATATTTACGTGTATGTGTGTGTGATTCTGTGCGTGTAGTTGGGATGGGGGAGCCGGAGGAATACAATTTGGTGGGTGGGTGGACCCGGTGGGCCTTGCTGCATCACTGAACCAGGAAAATGAATGAGGGCCTACACTAGGTGTCACCCCCTTCCTCTCCTGTTGGCCTCCGCTAATTTCCCTTTCTCTTTTCTGCCCCTCTCTTCTCCCTTTGGCCCCCGAGGCAAAGAAACAGTTGAAACTGCAAAAATTAACTGAGTGTATGTTCGACAGTATGTCGCAGGGTTGCATGACTGTGCTTAATGACTTGAATCACCTGAAAGACAACCAAATGTCTATATTATTTGATTGAATGATTACAAATCCATTCAAAGTTCAGTAAAACGGCCTGATGTGCCAGAATATGAATTTTAACAAGAGCAAAACAGCACCACCCGATGGGAGGTTCTCACAGCCACAACCAGTGAGAGGAACACCTCACTGAGGTGTTACTATGGGAGGAAGAATACAACATGATGAGGCTACAGAATACAAGCTTGTGTGCTGTTTTCCAACGACAGACTCAGTGATTTACCTCAGTGAGGGGAAAATAAATCTGTGAGTCAGCAACATAACTTCAGTTCTCTCTGTATCTCTGCTGTCACGAAATGGTTTGACAGCCAACAGCGAAACAGTTTTCATCAGAAGTCAGTTTTTTTCGAGCAGACAATGTGCAGTTTCTACTGGTGATGGGAATTTTAAATATCGCCTTTGGCTTTTAGTGGTCATTTAGATCAAATCTAAAACCAGGAATATACACATTACACATGATGATGTTGAGCCTGTAATGCCATAACCGTTCATAATGAATTTAAAAAGAAAATCAAAGCTATTACATTTAAGGTAGGCTTGCATGATTGCATTAACATATTGTTTCCAATTACATGCAGTTGAATATGTGATTAAATTATAATGGCAGACACCTATGGAAGACCATTTGTGTATGGTGCTCATCATGATCGTCACGTATTAAAGGTACAGGAAACTCAAAAGTGTGAATATGTTACCAAAAAGGAGTTATTTTCTGCAAAACCTGATATTATTTTGGCCAATTGGGGATAGAGAAGACAAGCTGTGAGCTGTGAACACAACATTGACACACCACCTTTTAAGTTGATATGGCAAACGTTTGATCATATACGTACCCCACAGTTAGGGTGCGATTACATCATTCATGCGGGGTCATGTTTCTGACCACCTCGGTTTTATGGCTAAAACTGGAAGAATCTGGTGGTGGGGGTCTAAATTGCTAAATGCTCCTCGATGTTCACCAGCTAGTCACTAACTGTGTCTGTCTATTGTTTGGTGCTAAGCAGGTGGCGTTTGTTCTCTGTTCATACGATACATTGTTAGTGTGAAATATCAGTTATAGCCCCTTAAAAGCTGCACTAATCAATATTTTCACCTGACTATAGACATACCATATAACCAGTGAAAGTAGCATTTCAACCCCTCATTACAGTTAGCTGTGCTTAAGTCATCTATACTTTTCCTGCTTTATTCTTCAGTAAGATTGTTGGCGTCATAACTTCCACCTCCCCTCAATGCCCGGGGTTGAACAGGTTGAAAGCCCTGTTACTCATACAGTGTGTTTAATTATAGGCATGCGTAATCACACTTTGACCCAAAACATTTTATTCTTTTTGAACTTTGGTGAAACTGTGAAGATCTGTGACGCACCGGAGCAACTGAAAGAAAAAAAAAAAAAACAATTCATTTTGGCACCAGTTTAAGGGGAGTGCACAGCTTGTTTGTGGGCCGGGGCTGGAGTGATCTGACTTGTAGCAATACCCCAGCATTTAGTATTTTCCCTCTCTCACAGACAGAGATTAAGGTGGGCGGACATTACCTTGGTTATTGATTATTACGCAGGTAATTGGTTATTGATTACTCTCAGCCTTCTTGTCTGTGTCTGAGGGGAAGAATTGTACTGTACAATTATTCAGTTTGGGGATTGAATTCTGTTTTCTGCCAAATCTCTTTTCAGTATGGAAGATTTAGCTTCAAAAGACGCATGTAGAGGAGTAAATGGACAGTCCACAACAGACGAATCGCCTTCTGCTGCTGCTCACAGTGTTGAGTCACACTGCGGATCCTGCATGAAAAGGGTTAAGCTCTGGGTACCTGAGGACTACAAGAATGAATCAGTTCAGCTTTTGAAACTAGCGGGACCCGTGGTAAGATTGTGTCTGCAAGAGTTTAATTATACTCCACCAGAGTAAACATTTTTTAGAGCTAAAGGTACTAAGTCAGCAACACTCAGAATGATTGGGTGTGAATCACACAAGTACAGGAACATCTATGTTGTTGAGGCTGTTAGGATTGTATATTTCTTTTTTTTCAAACAGCTTTATTCAGACTAGTTTACTGTGTGGGACACTTATTACCATGATACAAGTGAATATGTCTGAGAAGATTTTGATTTGACAAAAAAAAGGTTAAATTGCTTTACTTTTAACATGAGGGTTGTGCTGTACCAGTAATTATTTTCAAATTACCACCTACTTTCTTCTAACAGTAATTAACAGGGTAATAACTCCAAACCATTGGGACTAATTAGAAAAAGACTTGCCATAGTGATTACAGTGTGGCAGCATTTTAACTAAAACAGATTACATCATTTTCACTGACCTAAATAAACCCCTCAGGGGTGTCACTAGATCAAGTGCAGACAAATACAGTGTGATATGTTGGTCATTCTCAATTAGCACTTGAATAAGCTACATGGTCAAAAGTAACGATTGCATCCCTTAACATTTCACACATGTATATACATATACAGTATGTATAAAGACTTGATGAATGCTAAATAGTCAATATACCATAGAAATAAGGTGCATTTACTAGTGTCTAACTTTGTGAGGAGAAAAAGTTCAGCATATATCCACTTTTCACCTTTCATTGCACAAAGCCAAAACTTTATAGATGAGGACATTTAGTTTCCTTTTGTGCAAACCTTTTGATGCCAAAAGGCTGTCAAGAACCTACACCAGCAATCAGTAAAACTATTTTCTAAAAAAGAAAGGAGCGGCAGTAAAGACGCTTACAAAAGAGCTGCGGTAAAACCAAAGCATAACACATGTCAGCTGCCAGAGCAAATAGGACCTTTTTCATACCTCGAGGCCTTTTGAAACATGATTTTTTTTCAAGGAACAATAACTACATTAGCAACTGTACGTGCTGCATGTGGAGTTTTATTCATTCATGTTTTGTGAAGTTCATTTATGTTTTTATAGTTATGAAAATGTGGGAGCATGATTTTGTTTTTCAGTTCATTTCACAGATGATGGCCTTCATGATCGGCTTCGTCAGCATGGTGTTCTGCGGTCACCTGGGGAAAACAGAGCTGGCGGGGGTGGCGTTAGCGATTGCGGTGAGTGATCTCAGTGCAGTTTAGGTTTTGCTTTTATTGGCATTCTGCACTCAGGCATCATTGCACATCATTGTGTTGCGTTTTAAAACTTTTATTTTATCTATCCAAGCATGAATCTGTTTTTATCTATTCTTTCTGGACTGTTGTCTTATAGTATCTAATTTTTTTATAGGTAATAAATGTCACAGGTATTTCCATTGGCAGTGGTTTGGCATCAACATGTGATACTCTCATATCTCAGGTATTCAGCTGATCTTATTTATACAACCAGGTCAGTCCTGACCAGTTACTGCTGTGTTCACAGATTTGTTTCCCTTTTTCTTGCACATGAGTAGGTGTTATTTTAGTTTCCTGTTTTTCTGACCACCTGCTTGCAGACTTATGGGAGTGGTAACCGAAAGCGTGTCGGAGTGATACTCCAAAGGGGAGTTTTGATTCTGCTCTTAGCCTGTTTCCCCTGCTGGGCCGTCCTCGTTAACACTCAGCCCATTCTGCTGGCTGTCAGACAGAGCCCAGAGGTCGCCAGGTGAACCTTCTCCATTTCTAAATCTGTGCATCACAGCCATGCAATAGCACAAATTCACATCAAATGCACGTATCACACATGGATCAAGTTATTCAGCATGATTTATTGCACTTATTTACCATTTCCTCTGTTTTCTCATCTGCCATAAAGACTCTCCCAGCTGTATGTGAAAATCTTTATGCCGGCTCTGCCAGTGAGTTGTAATTTATTTTTTGCATCTCCATCCATACACGCTTTATTGAATGGTTGTTTTGTTGCATTATTGATCTAATTAACTCCATTTATCGCCTCCTGTTGGATTCTGCAGGCTGCCTTCATGTACCAGCTGCTGGGGAGGTATCTTCAGAATCAGGTGCGTTTAATGACTGCAAGACCACTGATGTGAAACTCAATAATGACTCAAAGTTGGTCTGTAATGAGATTATTTTCTGTGTTAGAAAGAGCGTGTACTGCGAGACTGATACAAACAGCAGATGCGCTGATGTGTTCAGAAGGCGTGCTTTTTTAAACAGCTTACTGTGTCTCACATGCAGGGCATCATGTGGCCCCAGGTGATATCTGGAGCCACGGGGAACGTTTTAAATGTAATAATCAACTACATTTTCCTCAACCATCTGGATCTGGGGGTTGCGTGAGTACATCCACCAAACCCATAATAGTGCGACTTAACTGAGTAATCCTCTTTTATATTTTAAACCAATCAGAGTATCAATCAGAGTAAGGATATAACATGCTCAGTAGCCATTTCTAATAGTCAACTGGAGGCTTTATTTAAGGACTTCTTTTACTGGCAATGGCTAAATACTTGTTACTTTTTGTCTTGACGCCACTAAAGTGGATCTGCAGCTGCAAATGCCATCTCACAGTATACCTTGGCCGTGTTCTTGTTTGTGTACATCTGCTCCAGGGGACTGCACACAGCTACTTGGGACGGTAAGTTCAGCGAGTTAAACTACTTTAGGGACAGCTTTTCATTTGACCGTTACTTCCTTATGATTTCTTATTCAATTTCAAATTCAGTTAACTTTCATGAAGTAACAACACACTATGAAAGGGTTAGTTATTCTAAGACAAAAGCAGGGACAACTCTCAGACCAGACAATGCCGTGGTAGCGATCAGTCAATCACAAGGTAGCCACGCCCTACAGCATACCATGCTTTGTCTATTTTACTCTAAATGGGATTAAAATGAATATCATCTGTATTGAAGAGGACTTGAAACTAGTGATTAAGGCGTTGCGAATCGTCATGCTCATGCGCCCGTTGTGTAGTCCAAAGCCTAACATTAGCTTTTACTTCTGCTGAATGCATTCACGCTTCAAAAACATAAAAGTAGTGTTCATTTGTGAAGAATATCTTTCTGAACAAAACATGTAAGTACAATAAACTTTTACTGTTCTATAACTTTATTTTCTTCAGTAATCCCAAATCCAATGGAAAAATAAGTTCGGCTTTTTGTCGAGGGAACCAGTGTGATGCTAACTTCCTGGGTTGGTCTACAAAGAACACGTCTCGTCCCTGCAGCACTGTATACAATTTGACTTCTTTTTGCAATCAGGTGCCCCTGATGGCTGTGAGAGAGAATGCAAGTTTAAGGCACTTCTCCATTGGCTTCACTTTTTACAACTGGAGGTTGCCGTCTATGTTGACCTACTGTGCTCTTGCAAAAATACTCTTGGCTATATGTTATAGCTTTACAATAATTGGAATGAATTAATTAGCCAAACACATCGCAAACTGTGGGCGAAGAGTAGCAGATGGGGGGTCAGAGATGCACTCAGCTGTGTTATCCCTAGAGACCCCAAACAGCCGGGGACCAGTTGATGAGTTAGGAGGCAGCAAAAAGGCAATGGCAGTGAAAGAGGTAATAAAAGGTGATTTGAGAAAGTATGAATCACCGCAGCCATGACAGGTCCTTGAGCATGCAGCCTGCTGCTGCTGGTTCACAACTGCATTAAAACAATCTGAACCATCAGAGCACCCAACCTTTTTTACCAGGGTTCATCACAGTCTCATGCATACTTAAATAAACATGTCATATATTATCATTTTTAAGACTATGTTGGGCAAGTGAAACTAGAGAAAATTAAATAAATACAGGCTTCACCTATATCTTATTTAAACCAGGGCTATTGCTGATAAATGTATTTTAAGGCCCATAAAAATCTATATAGTCAGAATTAAGGTGTAAAGCCTACATAATGATTATTATTATTATATCATTGCTTATAATAACAGAGTTTAGCTTTTAGGCCTGCTTTGTTTACATTCTGTCATTGCAATGGACATGTATGATCACGTCAAACATTCATATACATTTAATTATTATCAGTGTTATCTGGGGGTTGCGCGGTTTCCTATACATAGATTATTTTACTTGCCCGTTAACCGTTGTATGTTGTACAACAGAGATAATGTTCCTTCATAAGTGGTCCATTTAAGGTGAAGAATAGCACTCCAAATAGTAAACATGACAATGTCTCAAAGTTCTTGTGAAATTGGCAGTATAACTTGTCTGATGGGTATTAATGCATTTCATTGAATCCATCGCACCTCCTACCATCTCTTAGGCTGGTCAAGAGAGTGCCTGCAGGAGTGGGGTCCTTTCCTCTGCCTGGCCATCCCCAGCATGCTGATGCTTTGTCTGGAGTGGTGGCTGTATGAGATTGCAGGGTTCCTGGCAGGCATCATCAGCGAGGTTGAGCTGGGAGCTCAGTCTATAGTTTATGAACTGGCTACTATTGTTTACATGGTAACTGCTTGCTTTTGTCTTATAGTTAGAATTTCTATTACTCTATACAACCTATAACAGGTCGATGTAAAATCAGTGTGTTTCACATTTGGCTGTGAAATTTTTCTGTTCATCCTCTCCACCACAGTTTCCAGTGGGTTTCTCCGTGGCTGCCAGTGTTCGCGTTGGGAATGCTCTTGGTGCTGGGAACACAGAGCAAGCCAAGCTGTCCAGCAAGGTCTCCGTCATCTGTGCATGTATGAATCAAACAAATCAAAGTCATTTCCCATGTTTGTCCATTTCAATTAATTTGCCACCAAAAGGCGTTCTGTTTATTTCGAATACATTCTAATCCCCATTATGCTTTTGTCTATTTCCAACCCTTGTCTAATGACGTGCTGGCTTCCTCATGCCTTATTCAGTTATTGTGTCATGTTTCATCGGAGCGTGTCTTAGTCTGTCTAAGGATGTGGTTGGTTACATTTTCACTACAGAGATGTAAGTACAAATTTTGGTTTGGTTTTTTAATTTTTAACAGGCCTCACAGAGGTCTATTGAGTTCACAGTGTAATTTGTCATGTAGTAACTTCAGAGAACACTGACTCCTGACAGCAAAGTAAGCTTGGATTTTGCACTGTCACTACCTGAGACATGAATGATTTAGTTATTTAAGCATATTTCAATCATCTGTCTTTATTAGAATTACATTTGTATATCCGTATCTGCATTTTGCTTTTAGAGACATTATTCAGAGGGTGGCGGTTATCATGAAGATTTACGGTTTCATCCATGTTGCTGAGGCCTTTGCGGTGAGAGCCTTTGCCACATAAGTCACTTTATCTCTCTGCCTCTCAAAATAAACCCGACTTGTTGGCACAGATTTTAGATTTCTCTTTGTTTGACCTCCACAGAGTGTGACTGGAGGTATTGTCAGGGGGGCAGGGAAACAAATGGTTGGTGCTGTGTGCAGCTTGGTGGGTTACTATTTCATTGGGTTCCCCATTGGTGTGTCTCTGATGTTCCCTCTCAAAATGGGCATCGTAGGTGAGGACAGATTAAATATTTATACAATAAGAGACAGTATCATATTTCCACTCAAACTAATAAACTTTTCTGTGTTTTCAGGACTGTGGTCGGGGTTTTTAATTTGTGTTTCGCTACAGTCCTTGTTTTTTATAGTTTTCCTGTGTAAATTGAACTGGATAAAAACCACTAAAGAGGTGAGTCACATTCTGTGTCAGAGGAAGAAACTAATTCACTTAATTCAGTGACATTGCTATTGTAGATGCTAATATTTTAGCCAGTATCTTTGTGATTTAGTTGTTGTTTTAAATCTCTGAATAGGCGCTTTTAAGAGCAGGAGTCCAAGTGACAGAGGGAAACGAGATATTCTGGACAGAAAACAAAGGTTAACACAATTTACTAGTTATTTTACCTACAGCTATGGACATCTTCTTTCTGGGAACTATTGCAATCATTAATCATGTGTTAAAACCCTCGCAGCCCTGGACTCTGCCGATAAAAATGGCCACGAAAAGACCAGTCGATCTACTTCTTTCAGTTCAGTGAAGGGCAGGCTGGAAGTGCTGGATGCAGGTCAGCAGACTTCCGATGACGTGGCTCTGTCAGTCAGGCAGCTGGTGGTACGGCGTGGCCTCGCTGTGCTGCTCATGTTCATCATCCTCGCTGCTGGAGTCTGCATCAGCGAGCTGCTCATCAGACTGCTCGAATAAGATGAGTGACCATGAACTTGTGTGTGCAGCACGGAACCAAGCTCTGTGAGTCTGCCTTTGAGAGCGCAGATGCATCTTCATGCTTAGCAGTAAAGCATGTCACGCATAAACAGACATCAACAATCAACAGCAAAATTAAATGTAGCTTCCATTTTACCATCTGAAGCAATTTGTAATGACGAACTTCCAATCCATACTCCCACTTTTACAAAACATCTGACCCATTTATTATGCACTAATGACATCGGCATAACAATGATAGCTTACACAAGTTGTTGACTTCGTCAGATCCATTTAGATTATTCCTTGATTTCCTGTGTACTTCATACCGAAGAGGATTTGTCTTTAAAATAGAATCTATTCATTGTAATATTTCTTGATCAAATCTAAAATAAATAGGTCAAACCACGTCACTTTTGCAGTTCTTAACATATTTAGGAAAGTATAATAAGAAACACGACTTAAATGAGGCAGCCAGTGAAAGGCTGAACAGAAACAAATACTATATAGAGATGTCTCCTTTATATAGAAACATGCTGCGTAAGATGGTTGTGTATCAAGACTCTGACGAAATATATGTTCTCATTATGAAATATATAGTCTGAATGGATGCCACAATTAGAAAGAGCATGACTATATGCTATATTAAGGCTACAGCGCATCTGTGGATGTATGCTTTCATCATCAAAGACAGAAAAGCTGTTCTTTTTCTTTGGTATATTTTTTTTCTTTCCTTTGATCTGTGTTGCCAAATTTGATGATAATGAAAGGTCTGTACGCTCACACAATGCAACGTGCTGGCTGGATGAAGACATGTCAAACTGAGCAAATCAACCACCAGGAGCAGTGAACTAGCCAGCTCAGAGTTCACTTTGGTTTAAAGCAAGCTGTTAAGCACGTGTGATTGTTTGGGGCTGTCAATCGTTAAATCAGCTGTTCTCCTCAGCTGGTCACATCCATTCAGTAGCACAGCGACACACCTACATTGTTGCTGCTGTCTACTTTTTAAATATGATTCTCTCTCTCTGCCTTTTGCATGTTCATGCTGCTGTTAACCATGCCCCTGCACCTCCCAATCACCGCCCAGTAGTCGCAGCGTCATCAGCCTTCCGCTCTCAACAGAATCATCAGCACCCACCAGTGTGTGGGCTCCACGGGGGGGATTTATGTTGCTGCTGCTCAGGGCAGACGCCCCTCGATTACAAATCTCCCTGTAGAGTCTAAGCGCCAAAGACTTTCTGTCAAGACTTTATCATCGCGCATCATCTGTTATGATAAACAATTATCTTTTCTTTATTCACTCATCACTCCTGTTTGAAATAGGCTTATTTGAGTAATATGAAAAGATTGATACCACTCATGTCTGTGAATTATAACACTCCAGCTAGAACCAGTTAGCTTAGCACACACGCTGGAAACAAGGAGAAACGGCTAGCCTGGCTCTGTCCAAAGGTAACAAAATACACCTGCCAGCACCTCGAGAGCTCACTAATTTGATTAGTCCGTAATAGTAGAGCAACCGCTTGCTGGCTCTAACCTCGTATTTTCTATACATACTTGAGAGTGGAATTGATCTTCTCATCTAACTCTATGCCAGAAAACAAATAAGCTTATTTCCCAAAATTATAATACTGTGCAAGACTGCTTGATATGAGACCATGTTGTTTCGCATTGGACAATGGGCAGAAGCAAATCAGAGTAAAAGGACAATATGGTGCATCTCCTCTTCAACTTTTTGTATGTGGAAGTTATTTATTCCAGGCCTATTCGTATTAAGGCCTCAGTCAGGCCCTCCTGAAAGGATTTGTTTGAGTACAGGCTAATCACTTTATATTTTGGCTACTTTCACCTTTCCATAAAAGTCTCCACTCCGGCCTGTATGAAGCCAGTGCACTCTCAAGCCACTGCTCTCTCCAAACTGACATCAGCACCGGCTTGCAACAGATTGATGTTTGCAACAGTCCCATGAAAAATATTTATATTAATTTATCATTATTCAACATGTTAATCAGACTTGATTCATACATGGTTACGCCTGAGCGTCAGTCTTGCTCATCAGCGCAGACATTGTCACAGGCTCCTCACAGAGACTGTAATCTTGGCCCGCTCACCTCCAGAGACTGCAATCAGTAACACGCTGGGGCATCATTAACAAGAGACTGTGTAAAGATTTGCTGTCAGTATCATTAGACAAGAACTTGTGACAATGGCTTAAGAAATCTCATATTAACTTCTTGGTTGTATTACCTGAATCCATCATAGATGTCTTTTTACCTTTGTTGAGGTTGTAATCTTTTGTGTCAAATATGCATTACAACACGACAACTCTTAGAATAGATAATATATGTTGTGTGACAGAACTCAATGATTACCTCTTCTCAAAATCAATCTTCAGCACTGTGAGCAATCAAAGTCCAGAGTATGACGTAAGCTATTGAGGTCTGGCAGTGATGTTGCCATTTAATGTCAAGTGCCATATTGAAGAGCAGAATCTATGTATGTCCATAAACAGCAGCTTGTTTGATCAAGAATCAGTTATTGAAGTAATAGCTGAAGTCTTTTGAGTTCCTACATAAAGTAAAGCAGCAATAGCAACACCATGACCTTTCCCAACTCATAGAACTACACCTTCTTTCACAAATCCAAAGGCTATTGCAAGTCTAAAAAATAAAAGTAATGGCATGGCACTTTTATTTGCTGTTGTGATTGGGCATGTACATTTTCCATTAACAACCAGTCAATATCTTCATCTCACATAGGCTCAGAGTAGACATCTCACACTTCATACAGATGCTTTTCATTCATTAGCTGGACTGAATGAGGTGGGTTGGTTTGGTGTGGGTGGCTGACACTATAAATACCTTTTACAGCCAACATGATCAAAGATATGCGTGCGCATGTTGCCAAAGGAAGTAGCGTTTTGTCACTGCCATTCACATGAGATAGCCAGCTTTAAACATTGAATTGAAACGGTTAACATTATCAAAATGTCTGGTTGTTGCATGTTCGATTGTCAATATTGATGGCCAACATTGGACTAAAGTTTTACAGAATTGCCACAGAATTACGAGTGAAGAGTGATGAGTGAACTGGGGACTGAATGGAATTCAATGGAGGGCAGGAAGTGAAGAACCTAAATACAGCACGAAATTGGAAATGGAGGAAAGTGGATACATAAAAGGGTTGGTTGAACCTGCACGCAGCAGTTATTGCCAGAAAATAGAAACACATATTGGATATAATCCCTACAAAATGAAGAAGAGCGATTTTTCCCACAACTTTACCGATTTGCCCTGTTTGAAGGCCATCAACATTTCAAATTACCTCGTCTTCCAGACCTCCTACTACACCGCTTGCCAGATGAAGGCGTACAAGAGTTTAAAGGCTTACAATTATTTCGTGAGCGGTTGGGTCCACGACCTCGGAACCAAGAGTAGCATTTTGTGCCCTTCAGTACAGTTGGATGCTGTGGCTATACCTGCAGGACCTCAGCAATTGGTGTCACTTTTCAATCATTGGCAACATGGTTTGTATTTCTTCCCTTCAACTAAACTCAAGAAGAAGAGTTCAGTCTGTAGTCTGCAGTTCAGACTTTAATACATTTCTTGAGGAAATATTAGATTTTGCTTGGTTAGTTTTGATTCTAGTCATGTTTATTGATTAGGGTACCATCATATGGCCTATACATTATTTTGGCCATCAATCTACAGTAAAAATTTGCGTAATATTCATCATTCATCAATCACCTCTGTCCTGGAGAATACCAGGGCTTACAGTTAAAACACGAGAAAATGATTAAAGGTCAGTTAGACAGACGATGTTAAAGGGCAAAATGTAAATCAAGATGAGAAAATGTGGAAAAATCAATCATCTGTGGAAGAACATCTGTTTCTTGATGTGAGGGATTTATTGTGTGTCTTGTAGTCCCGGTTTAGCATCTCGGGTCGATCAGGTTAAAATATGACTTTTGTAACAGGACCTTTGTTCATCCAGCCAATGTCGGTCTCATTTGATATTGCTTCCAACTTTTGGTGGATTAACTCAACAGTGTACCACTGAGACATACTTTTCTTCACACATGGCAAATCCAGTATCCCATGTCAGGCTGTAGTTTTACATATTAACAATCCGGGTATTCAAGTAGACTATAAATTCAACACTTTTCTCACTAGGAAATCTAAATTGTCAGTTTGTGAGAATCACGTTCAGCTGCTACATGTCTACATTCAGAGGTCAAATATAGCTCAGGGGTTTGGGGTCAGGTCCTGTGGAGCCATTGGTGTAGGAGTAGAGTCATTAGTCCAGTTCTGGGTAAAGTTGGCCCTGCTCTGGGCGGAGGGCTCCTGTACAGGGAAAGCAATGTGAAAAGCGACACCTATGGCTAAAATGAGAACTGAAACCAAGAAGACGAGTCCTCGGCGCAAGATCAGATCGGTGACAGAAAGCAGCACTGGAGTTTTGGTGTTTGAAGCCTTTTTGATACTTTCAGCATCCCCCTCAGCTCTTCCCGTATTTGTGTTGTTGGCCTCAGCCTCGTGACCCACTTTCAGCTCCTGCTCCTGGGTGTTGACTGGACTGTAGCCCTCTGTTTTAGGAGCTTTCTCACTGTTCAACTGGACCTTCAGGGTGCACAAATGCTGCTGTTAATCAATGTGTGTGTAGCTCAAGTATGATAAACACAGACATGGGAGAAAACCCTATTTAACTACACACTATTTACTATGCACTTACTGTATCAAGGCAGTCAGAGATGTCAGGCACCATCGCTTCACTCAGCATTGTACTAACAGGACGCTTTGGTATCACCATCACTTTATTTCCAGCTCGCAGTTGAGCCTGAAAACAGAGTGAGGTTCATGAGAGACACAATTCTTTTTTTTTTTTTATTCAGGTACCAAAAAACCTGAATGAGAATTCAGTCATCCACACATTTACACAACACTTAATTCTATTAAAATGCATTACTTTGTGGCAATTTTGAGTGTGTATGCAATGTTCAGCACCAACATTTATGTTTGTCTGTGTATTGTGAATGAGTTGAGAGATAACTTGCAAAGCTATGCAAAAAAAAATCAATCAAAAGAAAACTGAAACAAAACAAAGATTTAAAATGCTGCCATAAGTTTTATTTGCTAATCCTTGCCCTGAATCCTTTTTGGAACAGTTTAATTATGCATGGTTTAAAAAAGATAAGAGCATCCTACCTTGTATGTGACTTTCTTCCAGTTGAGTTTGAAGATTAGAAAGAGGAAGAAACCCGTCTCCAAGAAAACACATGTAAATATACCTAGCCAGAATCCTAACCAGAGGCAGACAAACAAAAAGCATGCAATGAAGAAAGATCTACAGTGTATTCACTTTATACATACAAAAAAATGATATGCTTAATATTTATGACAAAAAAAGATACAGCTACTATTTTGACCTATTTTGACCTTATGAAAAGTCAGGGGATCACCAAAGTTATTACATTTCATCCTAAGGGGGACTTGAGTGTTTGTACCAAATTTCATGGCAATCCATTCATTCGATAGTTGTCTAGACATTTCACTAAAGACCGCACAGTGACTAAAAAGAGCAGAAGGGTTACTAGAGGCATTATTCACTGGAGTCTAAACATATTGCACATTAAATCAAAGCCACCCTCGTGTCATTATTACACTCTGAGCTACTGTGGAAGAAACTGAATTAAATAAATCTACCCTTAAACAATCGGGTCAAATTTATTTCCAAAGAGCTACACAATTAGGTTGCATCCACACAAGAAAAATGTATAATTCAAGTCAAAGCCTCAGTTTGTCATACAAGGAAATGGAAGCAATTCACTGATCACTGACACCTGCTGAATTTATGAAAAAACAAAATCATGTTAGTGTGAAATGTTATGAACCATATAAATGAAATAGTTTGTGGTCTCTATGTGCACAAGGTAAGGTTCCTACCATCCAGTTGAAGTTAACCTAAATTAGAGTGTTGTTTGGGATACCTGCCGGGTTACATCAACTTTACTGTGGGGTAAAACTCAACTTGAATACCATTTATTTTACGCACCAAAGTCTGTTTCCTGGTCTTGAGGAGCAATACTACTTGTATAAGTTGTATACTGCCTTTTGTGGCTGCAGAGGGAGCTGTGCAATGTCTTTATAAATTGCCTCAAATTATGTCTTTTGAATATGCATCTGTTGGGGCCAGGCCTCCAGTTCTGAAGAGTGAAGCCAATGTGGAAGTGCCTTAAACTTGGATTTATTCTAAAAGCCATCAGGGGGGCGACTCCTCTTGCAAAAAGAAGTCAGATTGTATAGAAGTTTATAAGAAAATTATCCTCATGTCTCAAGCGCTAGTTTCAAGCCTTCTTCAATGCAGAATGATGTTAATTTAGAAAAGTGCGGTCCCATTTAGAGTAAAAGAGATTATAAAGCAGGGTATGCTTTAGGGCGTGGCTACCTTGTGATTGACAGGTTGCTACCATGTCGTTGTCCGATCTCCGAGTTGTTCGTGTTTTCGTATCAGAATTGTAACCCTTTCACAGTGTGTTTTCAGTTCATGAAAGTTAACTGTAAAGTTTTGTTAGCCTAAAAATGTCTTAGTCAGCGTTCGGTTGTACTTAACTCCTGTGTCACCTCGGGTGGCAAAAAAAAACAAGATGGCCACGGCCAAAATGCTGAACTCAAGGCTAGTTGGTGAAGTTGCATTATGGGGAATGTAGGCGCCAGTTTTTTGACAAGGAAGAAGAATAAAGACATTTGTGGTTGTACTGCATCGATTTTCAGTATTATTTTTAAACTGTTCATAGATTCCAACTGGATTGCAATGCTGGGACCCTATAAAAGGATAATATAAGATCAAATTCATAACTTGTTTGCAGAAACAATCAGAGATAGAATAGGATGTGTTCATTACCTAATATTCTGAGCTCGGCAGCAAACATCAGAGCTATTCCCACTGGCAGACCGATGCAGTAGTAACCCACCAGGTTGGACACGGCAGCAATTTTCTGCATCCCAGATCCTATAAGAATCCCTGAGCAGACACACTGAAAACACACACGTATAGAAACAATTGAAGAAAAGCGCGTATACTCTTCAACGCGAGCTCAATGCAAAACAAAAGGAGAACATTTATTCTGTTCCGTAATAACGTACCAGAAGAGCATCAAAGAATTGTAGAAATGTGTAGACTGTCAGGTTATTTGAGACAATCTCCACAATGTTTCTGCAGACAGTAGAAGAAAATCATCAAAATAAAACAGAGTTGCCGTCACGGGGTGCAGGAACGAAGGTGTGTAGATCTAAAACTCACTTATCAGATGTAAATATGTAGCCAACGATGGATTTACAGCCAGCGATGACAATAGCCTGGAACAGCGCAAGCACTCCTATAGCGAAGACATTACACAGAAGATTAATGTGACAAGATGTATGTTCTGCGTATGTCCAGATTCACAAAATATCAAACACATTTGAAATTAAAGTTGCATGGATCCCACATATATTTATCTTTTTTTTGTGTGTTTTTAAAGAAGAAAAACAAACTCCAATGTTGCTGTTTAATACACTGATTATGTAATCGGTCATACTGTATTAGTAGGGATTAATAAACCTGCCAACCAATCAGAATCAAGAATTCTTAGTGGGCACGGTTTAGATTATAGTAATTATGTATGTTTGTGTTTACAAGTATGTATATCCATACCTGCCAGAACCAGCGCAACTTTACAGGTGACTATGGCCCTGGCAGTGTCCCCGGCCCCCAGAGCATTCCCAACACGCACACAGGCAGCTGCATGGACACCTAGAGGGAACTGCAAGGAGCCCATGTTACTTTTTTGATGTGACAATGAGTTACACAGCTTTGGGGAATACACTTATTCACTTTCTTTCTGATAGTTTGATACAAATATCGATATCCCTGTGTCAACTGTGTGTGGAATAAAGCATGGGAGCCTGGAGGCAGTTAGCTTAGCCATGCATAAAGACAGGAAGCAGGGGAAAACAGTAAGCCTGCATCTCTCCAAAGTTCAAAAGTAAACCTACCAGCACAATAAACACTCACTACTTAGGTATCTCCAGTGTGCGAAACACGTGTTTGCAATCGAGGGGTTCCGACTCCCTCGATATCTGGCTGTCATTTACGGCGAAAAATGTATCTCGCACTCACGATTCATATTTGTGAATAAATGTATTGCAGTTTGAATAACGAATACTGGACAATTGTAAGACATTCTAGTGACAATTGCAAGTGACAAATAATTGTATTATGATTTTAGAGACCCCCCCCCCCTCCGTTTGGGATGATCTGTTTCTTCCCTACTTTTAGTCTTAATGCTAAGCTAAACTAATCTCCACCTGGATCTAGATCCTTGACATACAGACTTAAAGAGTAGTAGCCTATCAACCTTTTCATAAATAAGAGCATTTCCGAATATGCTGAATTATTGTTAAATAATATGTACATAAATGTTCCAGTGAACACATTGGATGTTGCATACCATAAATGTTATGGCTCCTACTTCTACCAACACATGCTGGGCAGCCAGATCCACCTCTCCCAGCACACCTAATATGATAAAGATCACATTCAGACATTCACAAAGACAAGAAACTTGTTACGTTTGACCAAAACACTGTCAGTGAACTGCACACAGCCTGCTGCTGGTTTATTTGATCTGACAAAAGGTCAAATGTATGAGAAAGAGAAAAGATGTAGTGTTGCAGTTTTGGTTTTTTTACATGTCACACATATGGTACATTCAGATTATTCTCTTACTGCTGGTGGAAAGGTGTCCATGTCTAACACCCACATTTTATTTGACCAAATAAGGTGAAGTTATGGTGAGATAGTAACTGTGGATGTGGAAGGCCCTGTGTTGTGTCCTTAAAGCTCAAAGCTAAAAAGAAAACCATTTTTATGTCTTCACCTTGTTTTAAGTGGTTTGTTTATTCAAAATTGGACACTTTTGTATTTATCTCTTTAGCCAGTTTACAGTAAATCAATTCAATACTTTGCTATAATTTGTTGCTTTGGCAAGAATTTGTCCTTTAACTTTACAATACCAAACAAAAGTTAGCTCTTTACAATTATTCTAATGGTTTAATTATTTGTTTGTAGAAAGAAAAGACAAGCACATGCTCAAATTTGGCCTTACTTACAAGCTCCGCTCAATAGGGGTTTAAATAAATTTCAAATGAAAGCAACACTGACCAGCAAGGAAACCGCCAATCTCCCACATCCACCATTCAAAGCAGATCATGCATGTACTGGGAATAGCCAGCTTCATATAGGCGCCCCACTCCTGTAGACAGTCAGTGGACCAGCCTGCAGAAAGTTTAACGCAGAAGGATTATACTCAATAGTAGGGGGTGACATATTTCTGAAGACAGATTTAAAAACACAACTGCTTACGTGCGTCATTTGCCTTTTCACCCAAATGTGTAGCAGAAATGCTGATTTGGCCATTTAGTATATTGCCATTTGTGTGTATAACTCACCTCCCCATGTCAGCTGATGGAGCTTCTTCCATCTGATGTAGCCATACAGCAGCAGGCAGATGGCGATATGAGAGAGGCTGTTAGCTATTGCTGATCCACTGCAAACACACATGATAGAACATCATTTTATATTGAAGGGAAGTCCAGTGACGTTGTCTCTCTCTAGGAAAATATGAGAAAGGACTGCACACTGAGGGGTCAAAGGAGGTCTGTAACAAGACAGTGGATTGAGCACACTTCTGAGAATAAGCCTTGAAAATTTGGACCTGACCTGACCACAGGGACCTGATTGGCTAAGTGGACTGCCTGTTGAATCAAATGTTTGTCCAGCTGGACCAGGATCAACTTCTGTCAGAACTTTCTCTTCTTTCCCTTCACTGCCTCCCTCTCTGAATAATGTAGAAACATAATAAAAGTCAGTGTAATGCTGCTTTGTTCAAACAATTAAAACAAATCACTCTTATATTAAAATGCATAATGAGCTCTCTGACCTCCTGTCCTCTTCTTTCCAAACTCCCGGCTATGCATCAGCTACAACAGTTTTCAGGTGAGAGAAAGAGAGTGTCTCTGCTTTAAATGGTCTCGAGGCATAACTAGTGTATTTTATTGTTCAGGTCCCATGAGTCTTGACACCATATCTAGCAACACAAAGTCCATAAAAAAAAGAAGTTAAATAGAAGCAGGGTGATACACTTACACGACTCCCAACTCGAGGCTGTAGATTAAGACGTAGTTGGCCCCCAAATTAATAATGTTTGCTGTTACTGCTGTGTAGAACTGAGGCAGAATGATCCCCTGGCAGACAAAAAGAAAAGAAATGTAATCCACAATCAGCTTTCCAATTTGTAGAGCTACTATTCAAACTGCATGAATATTATCCATGCAAGTTTGAGACAGACAACAAATTCAGGATGAAGACGGCATTCTAATAACACAACTTAGAGACTACAGCCATGCTAGCAGCTTGGTGGGGATATACTTTGGCAGAGCAGTGCTTTTAAATGAATGCTAATGTCAATATGCTAACAAGCTCACAGTGACAATGCGTATGTGTTGCAATGATAATGTTTACCATGCTCACCATTTTCATGCAGAGTGTAAGCATGCTAAAATATAGCTGAGGCTGGTGTGGATGTTAATATATTTTCATTACCATAAACCAAAGTATTGAAAAATTAAAATGCTGACTTGATTGTGGTGCTAGAGGAAAACGTCCTATCATTGGCTCACCACAGTTATTACAATTCATCCTGAGGGGGACATGAATGTCTAAACCAAATTTCACAGCAATCCATTCAACAGTTGTTGAGACATTTCACTAAAAAACGCAAATGTCAACTTCATGGTGGCAATAGAGGAAAAGTCAGATTACCATCAAAGTCATTAGGAGGCAATATCTGGGAACCGTGAATGTCTGCTCAAATGGGCCAGTACGTTTATCTGCTCACATGGCTAAAGAAAAGCAAAAGATTCACCACACGTCTTGATAATGGACTTACTAAACTGCTGACGCGGTTCGTCTCTGTGTAAACACAATTCATTAAAATCCATTCATGAAGTCATTCTCTCTCTCTTTTTTTAACCACTCAAGTGTAACTATTTCCTGAATTTGTTTTGGGGAAACAAAAGTCATTTTTTTGAGGCAGAGCACCCATTGAAATTCAGTGCAAAACAAGTGCATCTGTTTCCAATTGTAAACTTACTTGGTTTTGTAGGTAGGAAACTTGCAGATGGTACAGGAACATGGCCTGTAGCGGGTAACAAAGGACACATTTTAAAGAATAAAACTGACGGGCCTTTCAGATACCAACCAGGATTCGCAAACACAACTTTGTTGCTGCTTTAATACTACTGTATTTGTAACATATGAGTTAACATGTATGCTAATAATCTGATGAAATGGTTGAATACTACTGTCTCTCTAACTTTCTTGTTTTTTTTAATACAAAGCCTATAGTATGTCCTAATGTGCTAAGAATATTGCACAGTAAAATAAATGTTTTAGTCCACACTGTTTCAGTTTAATGCACTTACTGGAACAGCTGGAAGAAATGCCATCACGTAGAGCTGGGCAATTCTGAAAGGGAGGCAAACAGAGCAACATAAATTTAGTAGAGCAAACACATAGACAATAATTCACTTTTTGCTCAGACATGCCCCTCTTTTTGCAAATGTGTAAATGTAGTATCAAAACTATGTGTAACTGAGCATCAGAATGCAGAACACACTAATGTATTAATAACAGTCAGTTTCATAAGCTGTGAATTTACCTCGCCACCTCATTCTCTTGGTGCAAGATGAGCAGCAAGTTGTGCGTGTTGATGAGAAGACCCCAACAGGGCAGACAAAACAGCAGCAGGATCAATGAACTCCTTTGGAGGATTACTCCCACACGTTTCATGTTCTTACCGCCGAATGTCTGCAGAACACAAATGAGACAAAAGAGAACTGAATCTGTTCAGGTTCAAAATGAAAACATTTCTGTGGATAGCACGCAATACAAATTTAGGACCTTATGATAGTTGATGTGGTTTGCTCACCTGAGAAATGAGTGTGTCACAGGCCAGGGCGAGGCCATAGCCTGTTGCAGTTGTGGTCACGTTAATCATCTGAGAGGTGGAAGATCAAAAAACAGAGTTTTGACTTTACTTAAACATTTTTACCGCTCAAATGTCTGTTGTTAATTGCCCATTTTTCTTGATGTTGATACCTCTAAGCAATATGTGCATTATTGTATTTCAGTACCAGAGTTCAATATTTAGCAAGCCAAAGAGAGACAGATGTTTTGGAAGCCCAAGATGGCCAACCAAGCTAATGCTGATGTTGTCTATGTGAATCAATCATGTGTGACTTAATTAATTGTCTTTTTGCTCTCAATTCTTTCAAACGAGATCTCAATCTCAATGAAACATTTTTTAAAAGTGTGTGTATATTGTAGAAAAAGATGTCCAATGGGTCTCCATGTTGCTTTGTTAGCAGGATATGTAAATTAGGGACTGTTTGCAAATAAGAAAGCCTATAGTACAGAGCATGTCATCCTGGATGACAATATCCCCAGCCACGAGGTGTCGCTGAATAGTTTACGGAGTTGGGGGCTTTTTATCTCCGCCAGGCGTAGAACTGGGGAGAGGTTATATGTGTGTCGTGTGTGTGACTGTGTGAGTGTGCACCTCTGTGTTTGTCCACGGCTAATCTGGCTTTCTGCTGCAGCCGGTTGCACAATATTTTGGGTGGCCAGTTATGGCTGCATGCTGAAGGACCTCTCGTGGCTGCACTCACACTTTTTCAAAACACCTTTTATTACTTGCATTCTACTGCCATTGACTGCTTGCTGACTCCTCACTCACTACTCTTAACCAGCCGCTAGTGATAACACAGCTGAGTGCATCGCTGAGCTCCAGCTGCTTCTCTGCGGCCAGAGACACAGCGGGGTGGAAACAGTTTGCACACTGCTATTGTTTTGGACAGTGTGTTTGGGGAACAGCTAACAGGACTACCAGTGCACACACTGCTGAGTACCTCTCGGATGCTGCTCTGCAGCTTACTTTTTTGTTAGTTTTCTTTTTGGATAAACTTTCCGTCAGGGTAAAAATAAGTATTTTTGTACTACCTGTTCCCTCTTTTTTTAATAGTTTTTGGTTCGGAGCCTGAAATAAGGTCCGTGGTTAACACAAGATTAAGATATTTTAGAGTTTTGTTCTACAATATAAAATATGTTAGAAGCTTTAATGTCTTTCTAAAATTGGTGGTTGCTAGCAAATGGTTAAATGAGACTACAAAACGTCATCAAGTCGACTATTCGGCCTACAAAGCCTCACTCTGTTCAGTTGTACTCATGCTACTGTGGGCTAGTTTGTTTATAATGTCTAACGTTAGCTTTTTACTTCTGGTAACTGCATTCACATGATGACTGATATAATGATCCTCCGGTCAAAGTGAAGAAAGGAACATAACCTTCCTATATAATAGGCAATTAATGATCAAACATAACAGCATTATATCCAAACTAACCAAAATTAGTCTTCTGCCATTTTCAGTAAGAGAAGATACTGATTTGGCCACATCGGAGAGACCTGCACATGATTTTCTTATTTATTTGCCAAATCATAATACAATATAGTAGAAAACAAGCAAACTATGTAATTGTATTATTGCTGAACTTAATAGAGTAATACAATAATGTAATATTTTGTGATCCCACTTGAGAGGTATAGACCGGGAATATTGTCTGGTGTGTAAGTGGCAGGTTATGAGGATATTTAATATTATCACAAATGAATACAGGTGTATGTTCCCTTCTTTAACTTTACCTCACCATCTGTGGTTGAAATAATGTCATTACCCACATCAGATTAAACATGTGGGGGGGGACAATAGTGTGCAAGTATATAAAAAATAATGATACTCAAGTAATTTTTTCAGTAAATACTTTTGTACTCTTACTCAAGTATTTATTTTGAAGATTTTGGCTACTCTATCAATATGTAGCTTGAAACTGGGGAGATAATGTTACATTATTGTTCTCGTTGACTATGTACATTTTAATTCCATTACATGTTTAATTTAAACTGTGTGTCAATTTGTCATTGCTTCTCCTCTCTTTGGTCTGCAAACTGTCTAAATTCCTTCTGTTTGTGCCGTTGACTGCACAACAACTCTTTAACGTCTTAGCAGTTCCTTCCGTATGGCTTGTCCATGGCAGGTGCTGATGTGAATATATTTGTCTTTCTGTACCTTTTTGGAATATAGTGTCCGAGTATTGCCAAGTCTCTTTGGCAGTATTGGTGTTTAAAGGTACACAAAATGAGCATCACACACGGAAAATATTTTTGATATTCTAAATGTGATTAGAGAAAAATACTGTCAGTAGGAGCAACAGTAGAATTAGTACAGTAAGTAGTAATAATATAGGAGTAAAAATAGTACCGCTGAGGCCAGTGCGTATCCAGCCAGTTCTGCATTGCCAATGTGACCACAGAATATGCTGATAACAAATGGCATGAGGAAGTTCAGCATCCGAGACAGCAGCTGTAGAAACAAACAAACAAATTAGATTTCCAAACAGCCCGTCATCGATCAGGTGGAACTGATGAAATAAATTATTGCTATTAGCTCGTCTCAAACAGGTTATGTGACTCAGCAAATAATTTTGATGTTAGACAGTGGCGTTGTGAAATCAAAAAGCTCAGACAGGTTCACACCGGGAGACAGTATAGGCACCATGCCAATTCATTTGCGTATTGTAAATATATTTTAGGACTGGTATTGTGTTTGATTGTATTCTGTAGTGCACATTTAACAGTAACTGCACACGCTGAATATAGGAACTGGATGTACAACAGTTGGCGCACTTTATACATATAATAACCAGCTATTCTCAACCACTGGGTCGAGGTCCAATGGTGGGCCTTCAAGCGCTATCCAGTGGGCCATGGATGTAAAAATGATCAGATGGAATAAAAAAATTTAAAAAATTGTAATATAAAAAAATTATTATTTCTAGATCTAAATGTCCTCAAGAAAAAAACATTGTAATTAAAAAAAAGATAATTTTCTTTTATATAATTTATCATGTCAATACATAACATTGATACATTCCTTTCCCCTCTGTTATTTAAACATTGTGACATGATTTTTACATCACCTACAGATAACAGTGTAAACATGACTTGTTTTGACCTACATAAACGTATAAACGAGACCATCAGTGAGAGAATTGGCTATTTAGTTATTCTTAATGCTTGTCATCGGTGCCACCAGGTCAGATTTGACGCGAAATCCGATGAAATGATGCAGGTTCACCAGAAACTCCTTCATCTCAGACTCCAGCGGGGCCTCTGGCAGCAACCAGCCCCACTTTCCTGAACATCTGTTCTATTATGTGTAACAAATCTGACCAGTATGTATTTTTACATTTTATTTTTATTTTTTTTTTTTTTTTAACCTTTATTTAACCAGGTAAAATCAATTGAGAACCAATTCGCATTTTCAATGATGACCTGGCCAAGAGGCAGTAGCACAGTCCACACAAGTTACACAAACAACACAAATACAATACAGTATAACAAACAATGGAAAAAGTACTAAAAACAACCTAGATAAAATAATAAACACTATGTACAAAATAAAAGGCAGATTACTGGATGTTATTAGTAAAAAAATGGAAGAAAGAAAGAGAAGTGAGGGCTGGTCAGCAAGTACAGCAGTCAACTATAACTTGTTGCAGCTTATGTTTGAACATGTTGAGAGAGGTGAGAGCTGTTAGTTTGAGTGTGTTTTGTAATGAGTTCCAGTCCTTTGCATCGGCAAAATGAAAGGAGTTATGACCAAACACAGTACGGACTTTTGGAATGATGAGCCTAATAAAGTCACTGGATCTTAAATGCCGATTGCTGTCAGAAATGCACAGAAGATTTGAGAGGTAATGAGGAGTCATTCCCAAAATGGATTTAAAGACCACAAGTTTATTTGGGAAGGTGGTCTTCAGATTATTTTAACAATCAGAAGTTGGCCTTCAGTTACAATTCGTTGAAAACCCCTGACATACCAATCCCCCCACTTCAACTTTCCCCTACTCACCAGTGGACCTGTGAGCCGTAAGACTTGGTAGAGTTCCTCTCTGTAGGCCAGCGGTATCCAACGTCTCACACACGCACATCGGAAAAGTTTGGAGCTGACTGCTGCCACCGCCGCGTCGTCTCCCTCAGCCCTTGCCCTCTTGGCAACAGAAACGCCATCAACGGGTCCTGCACCCGGCGAAGGGTGTGCTGGGTCCGGGGAACCCAGCTTCTCCATTCAAATGCTGAACACGAAGAAGAGAAGTGAGAAAAGCAGAGCGACAAGGGAGGGAGAGAGAGAGGGAGAGAGGGAAAGAGAGAGCGAGGAGAGAGGCAGAAGGTCTATATGGCTTTAGAAATACAACACATGCACTTCTTTAAAGTTATTGATTAAGTAATGTGGTTTGGAGGATAGAGGTGAGAGAATGAAGGGATGAGAAGAAAACAGAGGAAGAGAGGGAGTGAAAAGGTTAACGCAGGGCTGCTGAATGGGAGGGAATACAGTGTGTCTGAGTAGTTGAAGTGAATTTACAGTGAGTAAGTTAATGTGTGTGGGTGTGTGTGTGTGTGTGTAGTTTTACAGGGCTCAGTAGTAATCTGATGAAGAATGCCTGTTTGCACGGCGAACACAGAGAGCTCTGATGGCATAAACTCTACAAGCGTTGATTGATCAGTCATGTTGTTTATGTGTGTGTGTGTGTGTGTAAATGTACACATTACACATTACAGCTGGAAATGTGTGTGCGTATGGTGAGAAACAAGAGATCCCTGCATGTGATATACTGTAGGTTACTCGTCAATTTTGCAACTTTACATAAGGTGCACATACTTCACCCTTTCGTATGTTGCAATTGCTACAAACCTTTGATCTTTGATCTGAGCATATACAGATAAGAAGCTTGACTGAATATCATGTGCTGATTATAAAAAGTCCACAGCTTATAATGCAATAAAATTCACTACATCACATGCAAATACATCGGCAAAGAAGTTGAAAGTTTGAGGGTGGCATGATTAATACAAATGACACATTTTATGCTCAGTGAAAATCACAATAGGGATTTCTTTTCTTTCTTATTTTTTCTTTTTTTGAGAGCAAGTAGAAGCTGTCAGACTGAAAAGGGGGTTAGAAGATTCAGGTTTACCACTTTAAGAAGCCTAAAGTAAATGATAAATGAAGCTCAACCAAAGTTCAATGAGAAAGATTATCTATCTGCTATTTATTCACAGTTGTTCTTCGTAATCGTAATTGTTGTGTAGTATCCAGTGTTCATAGTGATTTAAAATAAATTCTATCAGCTGCAAATGCAGAAGTGAAGAAGCAGTGAGGTAGAAGGTTTGCAAACGGCATGACTAAAACAAGATTTTTCTTATTTAAAAGTCTCCTACTTGCAGCTGAAGAAACCTTTCCAGCTGGTCAGTGCCTCTCTCTAGTGGGTAAGAGAGGGAGGGCTGTTGGAAACATCATGAATAAGCAGAATAATGACCCCTGACAGTGGTATACTGTCTTAATATTTATTACTAATGCTATTGCAACTTGAAAGTAGCATTTTATTGTTGAATGGTAAGGCTACTACTTAGTGTGCTGTTGGCAGTGGTAGGATGCAAAATGTTTACTTTACGTGTGTCTTTCCATTCTATGTTACTTTATACTTCAGCTGCATTTCAGGTGAAAATATATTACTTTTTACTCCACTACATTTATTTGAGACTTATAGTTACTAGTTACTTTTTACATAAGGAAACCATGTGATATGCGTATCCGCCCTATCATGCAGTAGTATATTTATCTATATACCCTGTATACAAAGCTCCATTAAATGCTCTTACATGTATTTGTTAGTGATAAAAAAAACAGAGTGATATAATATTCTATGATAACTTATCACTCTGAAAGGAGCCATTTGACATAATGAGTACTTTTACATTTGGTACTTTATATATACGTATATTTATATACTGTTTGCTGATGATACTTCTGTACTTTTACTTAAAGTTACAATCTTGACTTGACTTGATTTTCCGCGGGAATGTTGCCACGAACCCTCAGTTAGCTTAATACTGAGGGCTCAATCACCTTTGTGTTTCTTCATGCAGTAACAGATAGTGACTGAACAGGCAGTTATCTAAGTGAAAATCTTTGAGGTTATTACTCTTAACACTTTTATTTCAAGACTTTTACTTGTAATTTTATCACATAAAGGCCTTATATGTAAACAAACTACAGGTAAAGGTAGTAGCATAAAAAGTACAAAGCAGCATATCATTTAATTCTTTTAAGGAATACCTGAAAATTGTGCTTAAGTACTGTTCTTGGTGCATGTAGTTAGTTACTTTTCACCACTGGTAACTTGTATCACAGTATCAGAGGAGAGACGGACATGTTTGATGCTGTTTAAAAGGACAACTGTTAAAGCTCTTGTACGCTGGATATTTTTATGTCAAAGATGCTGTTTACGACCATTTTTTATATTAATACACACATTCCATTGGTCTCTGTCATCACAATACACACAGCACAAGGAAATAATCCCCCAAACTTCATTGTCACATCTGGGTAGATCAAAATAACTTGAACACTGTTCTCTTCTCATGTTGGTACATTAGGAAATATAGATAATGTGATTTTGCCGTTAAAATGCAATGAAATGAAAATAGAATACTATAAAGTTTAAATACATTAACAACTTACAGACAGTGACTGGCTTCATCAACAAATGTACAGGTCTACAATTGCCAAATAAACTAGAACATAGCATTATCAATGTCTTATGGGCTTTAAAAACCTTTAACTACTAAAAGCAAACATGAAAAAAACTGTAAAATGTGTGTTTTAATCCTGAGATCCACACCCTAGAAGTTTTAGTGCCATTGTAATGACTACAAGCCAATAAAAAAGTGTCCTTGTGTTTGCACATTATAAGTACGTGAACAATAAACAATAAAACATCAGGGGTGGGTGGATTGAAAGGGTTTTTGCAGGAACAGGAAAGAAGAATGATGAGAAAGTCATAGAGAAACAGTGAAGGACGTTATAAAAGTGTCCTTTTGAGCAGGTGAAGTATATAAGAGCCACTTAAGATTTGTGCAGTCCTCTACATTCTCACACAGGGAACATCGTGAACACAACACAGACAAGAAATAGGAAATTGTCATTGACGGGTAAGTGGATCTTTTATGTTCGAGTTATTATAAATATTAGCTACATTTTATTTAGTTTATTTCACAAGTATTGTAATTATTTTTATTATTTTAAGAGTACAAAGGCAGAGAGCATTGGTACTGTGTTGCTGGAAGAAATAGTGACTCTTATTATTTATTTTTAAGCAAACTGAAATCACATATTACTTTGCTATTAACTTCAAGTAATAAACTGTCCCTTATAGATAAAATGAACCGAATCTATATAATAATCTGATCCAAAAGGATGATTTTACAGCTGATCTGACAGGCAGGTTTTTCTATATTTAGTCCTCAGAATCATAAACAAACACTCAAGAGAATATAACAACAATTTGGTTTCTTGGAAACAATATCTGGTTAAATCTCTCTTTTAATCTCGTACTATGATATTACATACATTCTGCTTGGATGTACTATTTTAAAGCACATATTATATCAGCTCTATGAGAAGAATCTATGAGATGGCAGGTTTGTTATGTTTAAAAAAAATGTTTTGCAGACACTTTTCCTGACTCCTAAATCGATCAAAACAATCCATTATCTTGATAAGTCACTCATGCACAAAATTTAAATTCTTTGATGAAGTATTCTAAGCTTGTTCCACAATTTGATTGTTTTAGTCGAATAGGTTTGGCCTGCAAATAAACTTAGATCGACTGAAAGAGAGGAAGTAAATTGGAAATTTATACTGAGGGTAGAAACACAAATAATGATTGTGTTTGTGTCACAGATGTTGGTAGCCTAACGAGGTGGAGAAAAACAACAGAGAATAACAGGCAAGGGAAGTTTATTTGTAAAGTACCTTTCAACAACAATTCATAGTTCTTTATAAAAACAGAAGGCATAGAGAAATGAAGCACAAAGTTGTATAAAAACTTTGTTAACAACAAATGTTAACAACAAATGCTAACAGCGTTTAGAGTCTCTAACTGCTACACATCTATATTATTTTCTGTTGCAAGTGCTGAAGTTTTGGTAAAATAAACTCTGATTGAATGCTCTTTCTCTGCCTTTCAGGTTTATCCAAGAAAGAGTAAAAATGAAGTTGATGTTCAGACCACTTCTTTTCCATTTCCTCCTGCTCTGTGCAACCCAGACATTTGGTAAGCCTGTCTGGTTTGAAAGTCTGGTCACCAAGAATTGAACTGACTTGCCTATTTCAGTTAAATTATTCCAGTGAAAGATTTTTTCTTTTTCTCCACTTTTGTGCAATCTAAGCTTTTACTGCTTCACTCAGCCATCCATTAAATTCCCCCCCCCCCCCCTTTCCTTTCCTAAGGTGTCAACATCCAGTCTGTCCCAGAACTCAACAGTGAGGGTGTTATACAGACAGAACTGGAGAAGACTGTGTCTCTGGTTTGTCAGCCTGACGGCGGCCATGAAGCTCAGGATGATGAAGAGTTGGTCTGGCTGAGGAATGGCGCTGTCGTCAGTCTGACAGAAGGAAATAAGAAGGGTCGCAGCAGCGTGTGTGTTTCACCCGTCATCTATGAAGACGATGGGGCCACTTTCAGCTGCCACCTGGGCAAAAATGCCACAGTTACGGCCTCGGTCACCCTGAATGTCACATGTGAGTCCCTTCAAATATACGTTGGAATAATGTTAATTATAGTAACTAATAACCAATATTAAGCTTTTAGGTTATTTTCAAACACACTTTGGATGGCAATGTCGGTCCACCACTTTGGTCAACACTGAAATATCTCAACAACTATTGATTTGATTCCCATGAAATTGTGTACAGATATTCATGGTCTCCAGAGGATTAATCCCACTGACTTTGGTGATCCACTGACTTTTCCGCTTATGCCACCATACAGTCAAGATTTCCCTTTGTCCAATATTTTGGTTTATGACAAACTCTCTGCAAACGTAATGACATTTCCATCCGCCTCAGCTCTACATTGTGTTTTGGTTTAGCACGCATGCTAACATGCCTGACTAAGATGGTGAACATGTCACCCGCTAAAGATCAGCACGTAAGCATTGTCATGTGAGCATGTTAGCATGCTGATGTTAGCACAGCTTAAGTACAGCCTAAAGGAGCCTTCAGTGTGGCTGTCTGAACTTATAGGCACAATGGTGCTTTGAGCTTAGTGCTAACATCAGCTAACACGCTGATGTTTAAAAGATATAATGTTTACCATGCCCTCTATCTCAAGTATAGAAGAGACCTTTTTCAAAATACGTCTTCTGGGGCCCATTGATGTCTGCACAAAACCATCGTAATAGACTTGTTGAGACGTTTCTGTTCGGGCCAAAGTAGTGGCCCACCAACAGACTGACATTGCCGTCCTTAGAAGCACACTGGCTACAAGATTAACATAAGGTGGCGTTGCTTTTCAGATCACCCACAGCTCTCTGGGTTAGAGGAAGTTGCAGTAGAAGAAGAGGCAGAGCTCGTCCTGTGGTGTGATGTCTGGGCCAATCCACCTGTCTCATCTGTGTCTTGGACACTAAATGGAAGTGCAGTGGATCTAGTAGTAAGTGGCTTCTTGTTGACCAATGACGGCTTTACAAGCAAGCTCATCGCCAACAGCGTGGAGAAAATCTTGCATGAAGGCACGTATCAGTGCACAGCAAAGTCTCCCCTATATGGTGAACACAGCAAGCAATTCAGTGTCACAGTGACAGGTCAGTTCATACAATCAGTGTAATCAGCACATAAAATGATGAATCAGTGAGTGATGACAAAGTGGGTTGATCATCGTCCTCCTCCTCATCTGTAGGAAAGACAATGAAGCTCCCACTGATGCCCATGATTGCAGGGATAGTGGTGGTGTGCGTTACCACTCTTTTTGCTATTGTTTCACGGTGGAACAAAATTACAAAGGTAACACACAAAACATACAACACGTACTGTACTATACAGCACAAGACTGACCCTGACTCGCTACAAAATGAATCTCCTAATGCTTTATTTCTCTTTTGACAGTGCTGCAAGTAGGTTGTGCCCAGATGACATTGCAAGTAAGCTTGATGCAAATGACGATGATGATGATGTCAGCAATGCAAATTAGCGTATGGCATCAACTGGCAACTTTTAAGCACCTTTTTGGACCTAGTGTTGACTGCTTTCATTGGAAGAGTTGGCACTATAGTCGTCTCTACTTCACCAAAGAAAAGCCATGAAGACATCACAACTCAGTTTGTAGTTGTTGTTTTTTGCGTGCAGGAGACTGTGATTACCCATGAACCAATTTGATAATATTTGACAATTCTTTAAAGGAATATTTTGTCATTTTCAGAAATGTTTGACATATTTGTTTTCATGATGAGTGTTTGAAGACCAATTGCGCTCTCTTACAGTGTGTGTCTGTTAAATATGAAGCTACAGTACAGCCAGCATAGTAACACAAAGACTTGACTTAAAGGGACATTAAACAAGATGGAACTCAAAGTTAAATACTGAGCTTTAGCGGTGCTGTTATGTGGATTTTGTTACCTTTGGACACAGCCAGGTAGTTACTTCCACTATTTGTTTTTGTGCTAAGCTAACCGGCTGCTGGCAGTAGCTTTTTATCATACAGACATGACAGAATTCTTATTTAAATCTTTGCAATAAACCACAAATGCCTAAGTATTTTTCCAAAAATTTAATTTAAAATCTTCCAGATCCAAATCTTTAGATTGTAGCAGGACGATCTGTGAAGTCCTTGAGATCATCCTTAAACACTTTTCATAGTGTGATGCACTTCTGCCTGTTTCTTGTTAATATCTTTGCAATAAAAGCTTTGTTTCCTCGCCACATTGATCTCTAGTTTCCACATTTGCACTGAACTTTAACTTGTGACTCAACAATGCAATCAAGGCGTGTTAAAATCATGTTATACATTTACCCTTCATGAGACAAAAGGACAGGGATTACCATGTCATGAGGGTCAAGGTCTAGATCGTGCATTCTACCAATAAAAAAACACTTAACAAGTTCACATAAAACAGTGCAATACCAAACATGGATTGTAACACGTTAGACAAGATTGCACGTGTGATCAGTCATCAAAAATACATTATGAACACAAGCTTGACCGAAGTTGTTTCTTGTGAAAGAAGCTGCTTGGTTATGCTTGCAGCTTTGAATAGTTACCAATTTACTTATGTGGTCCTTTCTTGCGTCAGGTTATACAGTTAGTGTCCAAAAATCTGTAATCATTAATACTGTAAGGTCTAATTGATTGCTTCTGGGAAACTCTCGGAGTCCTTGTCTGCTAATTACATGCAAAAATAAGAATGTTAATGCTGCACAAAGCTTTGGTTTGGTTTTGAAAAGTGGAAACACAGGCTTGATGATGCCTTTATTACATCACCACTGACTAAAACAAACTCGGTGGACAAAGACCTCTAAGCACTGGTTTTTCACATGCAGGTCTGTAGTGACATCTGCTGGTCTGAACATTACTGAACATTATAAACTTCACAAAGATAAGCTTTATTGCTGGACTGGTGTATTGGATTACATACAGAACTGTAGGCCTGACGTAAAAAATGACACTAACGAGCAGTACATGAAATCTTTACCAACGAGTTTTTACAGCAGAAAGCATCGAAGATGACCGACCATAATAATACATCCATGGACCAGAAACATCACAGACAGAGGAGATGCTGATGGACAGCAGAATGAATGAAGAGGTGTCTGAGGAGCAGCTGAACTCCAGTCTGGACGACACAAAGAGTCTTTCAGAGGTTCGGGGAGACTTGATCCATAAAGAGTTTGCAGCCTGTGACAACTCTGCCCTCTCCTTAATTGTGCCAAGTGAAGAGCCTGTAATTAATCCGGGAATCACTCCCCCTCACAGAAGTCCAACTTCCTCCCAAGAAGAACTACAGATAGAAGAGTGGGAGTTTTCAAGTGATGAAGACTCTGAGTCACTAGTTACAGTAAAATGTAATTCTATGAATGAACAACTTGAGCTGATGACAGAGCAATTTAAATGTCTATTGGGTCAAGTCTTTGAGTATGAGCTGGAGCACTGTATCGAGCAATAAATGTGGATTGATCCGCCGCTGAAAATAGTCCCTAAAAAAGCTACAGTGGCCATCTGTTTTAGGAAATTATTTAGCCTTTATCAAGATGAAACTATGCATCTGTGCGCTGTTTTTAACGACTTAAAAGCAGATTTAAAGATGAACTAACACATTGTTGGTTTTGGTCTTTCATGGGATTTGTTGACAGTATTGACAATAACAAAAATACAGAATATAATCATCTTTTTAGTGAAGTAATTATCTCTCCCTTTTAGGATATTGCAGCATTGGAGAGTCAGCCTTTGCTCATTTGGTTTTGTTAGGAAATATGTTTCCATCAGTTATTCTTTAAAAGAAAACTTCTTACAGAAGGAGGGGATTTTTATTAATGGGCAAATAATGTAGAAAGTATGCAGACGCTATATTTCTAAGGAAATGCTCAAAAGAAAGAAAAGATTTGGGACGTTGTGCCTTATATCTCCTGTTTTGAGATGAATTGCAATAATATAGGTGCTCTGTCTGACATGCTTTTTGGGCATCCAGTTTGCATGACTACTCTCTAGCCAGGGTACTCGAGGTTTATAGTCATTTTTCAGATCTGTTTCCTCTTGGTTAGGTTGCTGTATGTTCCACTACCCAGTTATGGCACATTTTACAGTGGGAGAAACCCAAATCCTGCTTTTTTGTAGTGAATGAATAAAACGGTTAATTTTGTCATTAGAGCTCTTTGGCTGCTGTCGTCATACGATTTCATGTGTGCCTCTCGGTCAGATTTGTGTTAGTGAGCTATAGTCGGGAGCTACCGAGCATGCATTTCTTCATGATATGTACTGTATATATATATATATATAATGAAAAAAGGTACTGGGGAATGCCAGGGTCAGCAACCAATAAACATACATTTTTAAAAACATACAGTACATCCAACGGAGAGTTGTGTGTATATACTGTATGGAGAGATCTTCTGTGCAAAGAATGAAATTGGCTGGGATGTACAATATAATACCCCACAGAGCCAAATAGACTGATAACCAGCCCACACGACGTAACACCCTCTCTATTAACGTCTTACGTCATACTGTGGGCTTTCGCGTGAAGGGCGTGGTGACGTGCGTGTCCGCGTGCGGTCTGCGGTCCACCGCCAAATTCAAACAGTGGAAGAAAGGAACAACAGCAACAGGCTGAAGCAGACGATCCTCACAACGGGTACTTTTTAGGTAAGCCTGCGGTGAAGTAGACGGTTCGATAGTTGGTATTTAAGTTATTTAACTGTTATTTAAGTTACGCTAAACTGACGTATTAACGTTAGCCAACGCTTTTACTCCAGTTAAGCTAACGATGCGTTTGCGAACACAGCCCCGGTTTTTTTTTTTTATTTGTGAATAATAATCACTTGAAGACGTTTCATTGTTACGAGTGTGCATTTTGTCTCTTCATTGTCGTTCCCATTTGACGAAGAAGTGCTAATTCGCTGTTGTGTTTCACTCCTCCGACTGTGTTTTGGAAGAAAACCGTGTCGTTGACGCAAGAAAGTAAAGGCTGCAAAGCTACAAATCCTTATCAAACAATAGCCACGAAACTTTCACTAACTGCGGGTCACTTCCTGTTCTCTCTGCATCATCAGCATGTTTTTAATTTAAAAACAATTGTGCAGTTACACTTATATTATTAGCTCAAGATTTTGAAGAGTTAAATGATGTTCATCTCTGTCTTAATATCTGAAAAACTCTTAAATGTACTTCTATAATACCGAATGTGACTTATTATTTTACTTTAATTAGCTTCTTTTATTTGCATTACGTCCTGTATTGTAGTTATTTGGTCTTATTTCTGCCTGCAACTAACTAATTATTGTCATCCTCGACTAATCTATTAATTCATAAAACGCCCCATCATAATTTCTGAGTGTGATGAGTTCAAATAAGGTCCTAAACTCATTAATTCAATGTGCAAATAATAAATAACATGTGATCACATCTAAATGAAGAAAAGAATTCCCTCACACCCGTGTAAAGTGGTTGTTTTATTATTGTATTATACACACACACTGCTGTTCTTTTTAACCTCCGCTCCCCTCTTGCAGCTCAGTCAACATGGCGTCTTCAATAATGGACGTAGTGGGTAAAGCTGTGGTGGGAGTGTGGCGGGCGCACACGGTCCTGGACGAGTCCGACGGTGCGGAGAGCCCCCAGGAAGCCCCCGACCGTTTCCGCAAGCTTCGCTCTTCATCTTCACTCAACTCTCTGCGGATGTCTTTGCGCAAGCGGCTCCCGCTGCGCTCTGTCCAGACCGGCTCCCTCCCAGAAAACCCAACTTGGGAAACCCAGAAGGAGCAGCCGAAGCCCAACGCAGTCCGCCAACTTACACGCAGTGCTCGGAACTCCGTCACTGACGTATATCAGGTAGATCGACGGACCAAAACCAGTGTGCATCCCCTCATCCTTTCCTCCTCCTCATCTGTGTCCTTTTCTCCCGTAATCAGAGGCTGCAGAGGACAAGAGAGTTTTCCCGTGAGGAGTGTTTGGTGGCGACCCCGGGTCGGACGTGTGATGGGGAAGAACCGGGTGCGTCGACTTCTCGCACCCCGAGACGCACGCCGGGCCGAGCTGCAACACCCAGACGCACCCACAGATCAGGGGCCACACCTGGACGCACCCCTGGCTCCAGAGGAAGGAGGACTCCTGAGGCTGGAGTACGAGGGGTGAAGAAGAGAGGAGGCCGGAGGCAGCTGGTCCGCATGGCCGCGTTACAAAGTCCCTTCGCCTCCCCCAACACACAGAACCAAAGGAGGTAAGTCTCCTGATATTCATTCAGACCATTGTTTTCCAGATTTTATTTGCTACTTTCATTCATGTGGTGATTTTCTTCTGTAACAGAAAGTTTGACAGCGATCTGGACTCGGTGTCCAGTGGGATCAGGAGGCTCAAACATCTGTCCAAGGCCTTTGACAACATAATTGGCAGAGACAACGGGTAAAGCATCATTTAACGTAATCACCGCTGAGCGTGCGGCAAATCTTAATCTCTGTTTTTCATTAGTATCGCTTGCATTTTGAGTGTTTTATGGTAGTGGGTGAAATCCAATTTCTGTATGTGTGAATGAAAGCGTGTGTGTGTGTTGTAGGTGAATGCGAGCGTTGTGCGTATTTGAGGAAGCTGTCACCCCATTTTCTGGTATGCATACACATTCTGCATAAAGGAGACCACAGAGACGCATGATCACCCTCCCACCCAAAGAATCCCCACACAGATCCCCTCCCCCCACACACACACTCTTCCAGGCTAGATTTGCAACTGTGTTTCTGGTATTCGAATGAGGAGTGGGTGACAGCAGGGGGGAGGGAGAGTATGGGTGTGGGAATTGGAGCCAGGCGACATGACAGAAATGTGAGGAGAGAGAGAGAGAGCGTAGAGTACAGATTTACGTCACTTCCTGTGTTGACATTCAAAATGTGGAATTGTGGTCTGGACCAATCCAAGAAAGAATGAGGGGCACGTGGACCGTTGTCTGTTATCAGTTTGCATCACATGTAGCCTCGTCCTTTGGAAATTTAAACCCAAGTTTGTTTTCCTCCTACAACAGGCAGTTCAACTATTCCCAAATTGTGGAGTAGGGAAGAAGGTAAATCCAAATATCCAATCATTATGCCTCTAAAAACCAGCTGAGTTGTGTAAACCTGTGCTCTGAGTGTGACTAATTGTGAAAAGCATGAGCTGCTGTATGTATGAACATGCGAGTATCTGACCCGTCGCAATGAAAAGCCTGTTTTGTGACTAATGATTAACAGGCATTGTCCAAGGAAAGGATGCTCTTCTCTGTCACTCTCGCTTCCTTACTCCTTTACTTCCCTGTGCTTTATTCACTCGTTCTGTCACCTTATCAGCTGACATGCTTTCTCCTACTTACCAGGGTGTCTGAATGTAGAAATCAGAATGTATTTAATCTAAATTCAACGTCACAAATAGACTTAGGTCTTAAGAAATCTTGTTACTATATTTACCATTGAGAAACATTGTCCCGTGATGGGTCAACAATTGCTTTCATTTTCTTATTTTGGATATAATACCTATAATATAACCCCTTTTAACATTATTAGTAACAACCCGAGCAAAAAAAGAGATCAAACACCTTTTTAAAACTGTATTTTTTAGGATACACTTATAGAGAGGAGAGAATTGAATCGATGAGGCCTGTGGACACTTTAATAACCTTCTCTCTCTCCCTCCCTCTCTCTCTCTGTCTCTCTCTCTCTCTCGCTGTCTCTCTGTCTCTGCAGGTCCAGTACAAGGGACCGTTCTGGAGGAGCCGTGATGAGAAAGTTGGACCCCAGCGGTAAACTGAGTCGCTCAAACCTCACACGTCGAGCCTCGAACCTCTCGAACACGCTGGGGAGTTGGACCCACACGGCTGTGAACACGATCCGTAAACCCAACTGAGCTACATGTCTGTATGTAAAACACGGGACCTTTGTAGCCCCATATATAT